GTGTGCAACCACTGTATCAATCAAGCCTCTCAACACCTTTCAATATTTGGGAAGATTGTACCAAAAGGAGAGGCCATTTCCAAAATGACTCTCGAGATTCAATCTACAGTTGATGGCCCTAGTGATCAAAGAGATTGAATGTATTCGATTGAGAGTTTTCTCAAAACACTAATACATAACATTTCTGGCACCACTGTCAACCATCAAGCAAAGTATGGTTATTTATGATAGTGTCATGCATACTTTGAGCATCTATATTTTGAAGCACTTTAATCCTAGTATCCGACTCAGTCAATATGTCGAGTCCATCAACGGTATTATACTCGTACTCGATCATCGCGAAACGTTATCCACGTTGTCAGCCATTGAATATCGTCCTTGCACTAGAAAAACACAATTTAGAGCTATATCGAATTGAGATGAGATTCTTTTCCAAAGTTTCCCTCAATTAGTTTTGAGATACTTTTACTTTGTAAATTAAAATGATATCGAACTGTGATAATTAACGGTGATCTATGGAAAAATTTGAAAATTGAGATATACAGCGTATATACACACAAACCACCGTAAAACAATTCGATATAATTTGAACTTTACAAAGTAGAAGTAACTCAAAACTAATTGGAGAAACTTTGGAAGAGAATCTCATTTCAATTCGTTATAGCTCTAAATTTTGTGTTTTTTAGTGTAAGGACGATATTCAATGACTCACAACGTGGATAAACGTTTTGCGATGATCGAGTACGAGTATACTACCGTTGATGGACTCGATAGATTGACTGAATCGAATATTAGAATTAAAGTGCTACAAAATATAGATGTTGCAACTATGTATGGCACTCTCAGGGATAACCTTACCTTGCTTAATGGTTAACGGTGATGCAGGAAATGTTGCGTATCAGTGTTTTGAGAAAAATTCTCAATCAACACATCCAATCTCATTGATCACTAGGGCCACCAACCGTAGAATCGAATCTCGAGAGTCATTTTGGAAATGTTCTCTACTTTTGATACATTCCTCCCAAAAATCGCAAGGTGTTGAGAGACTTGATTGATACGGTGGTCATTACACACAACAAAAATGTTTCACTCATCAATCCGACACTTGATAGTTATGTCATCAAAGAGAGGAAGAATAATATGAGGCTTCTCCCTCCACTTATAGTACCGATCTTCTTCATCTGAATGACTTGATACAACATATGTTCTCTAAGTTTGAAGGTTGAAATTGCCCACTGATGTTGGATACTACGATGTTGGAGGATTGTTTGGGAATCAACGGTACCATTTTTTTTTCTTTTTTCCTTTACATAAATTTATACTTTTTATTTTTCATGTTCATTTTAAATTCATTTGCAGTGTTGGTATGGAGAACCTAGTACGTATCGATCTGGCCATTTTATCTCCTTCAATGAGCCTATCATTTATCCGAAACTTGTGGGATATGAAGGATATAATAGAAGTCAATACCAATCACAAAATTATTTGGCCAAACATTGTCTAATATGACCGTTCCCGAGAATTGGGATCAAATTCTTTGTGGCGACCAATGCTTTTATCCTCTTTACACATTTTACGAGGAATCAAAGAAGACTGCAAAATAGAAAGTGAATGTATGTGCCAATCTTTTTAATTGTTGTCGGAACATGGTTGAGCATTTGTATTATCACACCATAGAGGTATAGGGTATGGCACCAGGATGCACAAATCCCGCACAATATAAGTGATCCACAGTAGCTCAGAAATTGTGGTGCTCATGGCCGATGATCGTGACACTGTTTTGTTGCTTCTTGGATTTCCAAAAATTCAACTAGCCTCCCAAAAACACACAATAACCAGTGACTGATCGTCTAGTATCTTTGCATGAAGCCCAATCGACATCACAATAGGTAGATAAAGAGAAAGTGCCATCAGTGGGAAAAATAGACCATGAGATGTTGTACCCTTAAGATACTTGAGTGTATATGCATGGCAGCTGCCCAATGAGAGGTGCAAGGTGCATTGACAAACTGACTAAGCTGTTGTGCAGCATCTGTAGTATTAGGCCGTGTCAAATTTAAGTAGAGAAGTCTTCTTATAATCCTTCTAAACTGCTCCAGTTCTTTCAAAGTCTCTCCATCTTCAGTCTGCAATTTTACATCACAAGGTAATGGAGTGGATGTGCTAGAGCAATCTAACATGTTCATATCACTAAGCATGTCTAAGATATACTTCCTTTGGCACAAAGTTGTCTCAGCGTCACTCCTTGTAACCTCCACTCCTAGAAAGTATCTTGTTGTGCCTAAGTCTTTGATGGTAAACTCTATGTGAAGAAATTGTTTAAGTTCCACTACTAGATTCTCATCATTGCTTGTGAGTAACACATCATCCACATAAACCACTATAGCCATGAAGCTCCCTCCTTTATGTATACTAAAGAAACAATGATCATGAGGTGATTGTGCTAATCCAAATGTACATAACTTCTGTGTTAACTCCTCCTTATTCCACTACTCCCATGAGGCTTGCTTAAGACTATAGTCACTATTTTCAAATAAAGTAACACATAAAAAAGAATCAGTACTTGCACATTCTACAAGCAAATGGACAAGGAGACAACTGATAGCATCGGTCTCCACAATTTGGAGTTGATATAGAAAATTAGAAACTGAAGTAAAATTACCTTCCCAACAACTCATAGTTTGCTTTTGGCAAAACGTCATGTACCGCTTTATATCTATGAAAATTTTAAAATGCAGACTAACAGTATCAAGACCAAGACTACAACTCAATGATTATGAAACATGCACATCTGCATTCTTTTGCCCTTTTAATTGGATCATAATAATATTGCACTGTATTGTCAGATAATTTGATTCCAAAGGTTTGGGATAAGAAGCGCAAGTAATAGAACATTCTGAATATAGCTGGAAAAATAATCGCAAGGAGGATAAAGACAGTCACTTGTCCAGACATTCATCATAGAATCCATAGACTTAGGGTGATCTGCAAGCCAAAGGCAAAAGAAAAAACTATAATTCATTGTTAAAAATTAAGATGATAAAAAGAATCTAGTAAAGCAAATAATCGATTGGAATGTTGCTGAGCGAGCTCTGTTTGGTCTTCTAGGGTATGCTTTTGCTTTACAGAAAATAAATGATCCCATAGTGGAAGGATTTTCTCAAAAATTGAATGTGTTTGCTGATGTGACAGAAATAGAATATGGCCCCAGAATCTCAAGGCCTACATACATCAGAATAACATAAGTCATGGCTGAAGTCTAGTCAGAAATTCCAAAAGCAATAAATTGAAGAATGCCCCCAAAGTTATCTACAAATGCGGATATTCAGTTTGCTGGAATAACAAGTTGGGACAACCTAGCATTTCAGATAGATGCAAGATGACCAGTAGCATAACATCATCAAAGAGAAAACATGCAGCATACATGGAAATAAATTTATATTTGCATTCTTATCATGTTAAGAAGTGACGGCGCCCATTGTATTCATAACTAAGAGCCAATACAGACAAGATAAATTTCTGTGCAATTTCGACCTGACAGCACAGTCATCCTCAAGTCCGATCCATTGACTGCTCTCGCAGATTGATTTCTCCTATTGCAAACATATAGAGATACATACAAGCTTTATGAACATCATAGTCAATTAAATACCTTGCCTCCAATGCGAAAAAGTTCGGCAATGTCGTGAAATTGGCCATTATGTGAAGATCACCACAAATTGTCACTGACTTTTCACTGGCTGCATCCAGTAACAAATACATTAATCTGAGGTCCAGCCAATTTTCATAAAACCACCCAAAAGGATGATACTGTATTTCAATATATACAGCTTACTCTAGAACAAATCCGCTTGGCGAAAATGAAATGAAAATGCAAATTCATAGCTGGACGTTACTTTCCTCCATTAGTTTTTCCTTAGCCTTTCCACATAAGCCTCTAACCTACATATGAAAATAATGAACTCTAACATAGTTTATCCATAGTTAGGAGTAATCTACTCAATCCATATGCAACATAAAATAATTTTAAATCATATTAAATTAGATTTTGGACTAGAGTCATACAATCCAGCTTAAAGAGTTTTACATTTGATTGAACTCAGTAGCTAATGTCTTGTAAATTTTAGGGAAGGCCCCAAGTCGACTCAGCTGACAATCAACACAATTTATCAACGGAACTCGTAAACACGCATATGCAGCTAATATAAAAATGCTGACAATCAACACAATTCCTTTGACATTTCAAAACTGTTGGTTTCCCTATAGTTATTTTGCAAGTTCCTCAGCTTCCTACCTTTTTTTTTTCAGCTTCATCGGTTTAGATTCTCCGACTTGCATCCTATTCACCAAAACACACACACAAAAAAAAAAAAAAGGCATAACTTTGAACTCTTAAGCTCAACAATTCTAACATTCCACAGAAAAATGTGATTCACAACTTTCTAAACTACGGATCAAATGCTTTGCCCAACGAACACCAAATAATGATCCAAGAAAATATAGCTCTGAGAATCATAAATTCATAATCATTAAAACAAACAAACAAACAAATGAATAGCTACCATATTGTTGGGTGGTCGTCTGGCTCGACTCGCCGGGCCCGGGCTAGCCCCGAACAGTCCTGAATAACAGCCGGTTTGTCCCGAATAACTGCTGGTTCGTCCCGGCAGCTCCCAGCAGGTTCGAACAGCTCCAAGCAGGTCCAGGAAGCACTCGATAAGCCCCGGACAGCAAACCTTTTTGTCCCGGACAGCCCTCGTTTGAGCCCGAACTTGTCCCGGTTTGTTTGCTTCAAGCCGAAACCGGAAATTATCAATAGACAGACAAAATTCAGCAATTAAACAATATAAATAATTGACAAAGCTGAAAAATAAACAAAGCATAAAATAGGAACGAGTACACCATTTTGCCGAATGCTTGAATGAGGCCCGAATCTCACGAATGTCACGAAGGTGATTCAAAATCGAGCAGGCTCAGTCCCCTATTGTCAAACCCACAAAATGAGTCACCGAATAGCCGACAAAGAACCGATCAATTGGACCCTTGACCTCAAAGACTCCGGCACTGTAAACCCAGGGTAACACCACTGACGGTCGCACCAAGCTCGGCCTGAAAACAGCCCGAACACGAAAACCCCTTAATCCCTCTCGCTAAAAAGGACTGGCTTATCCACACTACTCTCACCAAAATCACAACCCCCCTTATCACCTAGATGTCTAAGACCTTCTCCAACCGTACTGCAAAACGCAAAATTTGCAGTACGGGAAGCTCCAATCAATGCCAAAAATCGATCGCAAATTGCGATCTCCACACTCTCTCTCCTCAGATCGACGCATATTTGCTCGGAACGCAAATTATGCATTCCATCTTTTTTTTTTTACATTTTGGTCCTTTAGGTTTATTTAATTTATAGAAACTGATTTTTTTTTTATTTTCTTTAGTTTTTAAATAGTAAAAAGGATAAAATAAACATCTTATAAATAGAAAATTAAGTTTAAAGAATACAAAAAAAATTTCTTTTTTTTTACTTTCATGAAATTTATATAATATGATATTTAAAATAATTAATATGATATTATTTTATATTTGTTCATAATAGAGTAATTATACATATTAATGTTAATTTATTCACAATAATAATGTAAAATACTAAAAAATCTTTATCTTATAAAAATTAGAAATAAAGATATCACATTGCACTTCGAAATGCACTAATTGATCATCTGTGGGAGGAATTCACCAATTTCGAGACTTGGAAGACTATCTATTTTTACTTGATTGTTGTAATTTTAATTTCTCATCTTGTGTGTTTTAATTTTTAATTTTCTCATCTTGTTCGTTGTAGTTTTTTGATTTTATCTTGTGTGTTGTAATTATTAATGACTATTTATTTTTTAATTTTTAATTTTAATTTTTATTTTTAATGACTATTTATTTCTCCGATTTTATTACATAAATTCTAAATTGAATTGAAAAATAAAAATGTGGTATAATTGTAAAATTGTAAAATATGTGTGTAGTATTGAAAAGTTATAAAAGTTGATGTAAAAGAGAATATTCCGAGAATATTCTTTTGGGTTGGAAAATGGGTTTTTCGGTTGAAGATGAATTACTGCAAAATGGGATGTGTACTGCAAAATGGGTTTGAGTTTGTGTATTCGGTTGCAGATGCTCTAAGGATAGAAAGTGGTATGTTCAGTTTGACACAAAAGTTAGAAAAGGAGAGCAAGAGAGAGATAGAGAGAGTTTTTCAGAAGCTGCGTAAAAGACTAATTTAGGGCTGGTGGTGGCTGCTGACTAACTTAGGGCTTCTAACGGTAATTAAAAATGAATGGACAAGATCAGGTTAATTTTCTACGAACTGTCAAGATCTCTCAGATCACGTGGACTGCCGAAACTGGGCTCAGGCCGAAGAAATTGGGCCAAAGAAAAGTTTGAGTATTGGGCCATTAATAAAATATCACTTGGGCCACAAATACCAACAATATCATTTCCAGAATTTAAACATTAACATAAACCCACCCAATGGGTCAAGATCTGTAAGAATATACACTAAAAATTACCAAAACAGAAGCAAATATAACGGCAGAAAGAGCTCGAAAAAGGACCTCGGGCTCGGACAATGGCTTGCACTGCATGAGCTGGGCAATCTGCTCGTCCAGGTTCCCGTGTGGGCTCGCGGCCACCAGATCCGCGCTCATCTTGGTTCAATTTTCCGGTTCGTGGTGGACCCGTCGTTCTTCAGTATGACGCAATCATGAAACCCCCAAACCCTACGTAGACAGAGACGGTAGAAACCAGCGTACTAATAAAAAACGAGGCCCAGATTTTTTCTTTTAATTAAATTGAAACGTCGTCGTTTGTAACGAAGACAAACGACGTCGTTTTTGTTTAGTTAACTTAAAAACACTTCAGAGCTCAGAATCAGTTCACAGAGGCTTCATTCTCGCCGCCGACCGCCGTCCGCCCCATCCGCGTAGAGCTTCATCAGCCCCAACTAAGGTATCATAGTTATCCTTTACCAATGGTTCAATTGTAGTTGTAAACTAAGTCCACACTAAACCCTTCTCATCCTTTCAAAAGCCTTCGACTCTTGCATAAACACCGGTGTTCTTGCACTTTCTGCCTCTTTTTTCACAATTGAAAAACAATCCATAAAACAGCGGAAGAAATTCTTTGTCTGAATCTAATACATTAGCTGAGCGAGCTGCAGTATCAAGAAAATACTGATACCCACTTTATTGAAGAGTCAGTTTACCAATGGAGACGAAGGATTCAGCTCATGGCGGTAGCCAGATTGTGGACGTTGGTTCAGTGGCAGAGGCTGTGGCCGCCGAGAATGTAGACGCTCCCCTCTATCAAATCGAGAGCCTCTGCATGAGATGTGAAGAGAATGTATGTGCTCCCTTACTCGATTTCTGTCAATTGCTTGTTTCTGTTAAGTAATAGTTGGGTGCTTGCGTGGTGCTTATTGGATTTTCCGTTCTTGGTGAGTGTTTTTTGGTTACGTTCAATTGCATTGGATGTTCTTTTGTTGTTTCTATATTTAAATGGGCTAGGGAAAATGGTTCTTGAATTTATATTCTCAACTTTGTAAGCCGTGTTTCTTTATTGAACTTATACATCTATAGGTCTGCAAGAGTCTGCCTTATGGATGTTTTTTCTTACGTCGCATATGTTTTAAGGGCTCACTTTGACTGCATTTCCAGGACAACACGGAGAATGAAATTTGCAGTAGAAGTTAGATGTTTTTCAGAACCAGTAAAAGTGTGCATTAAAAATATCTGACCATTTTAGTATTCTAAACGTGGCTACCTCTACCCGTTGGAGATCTAATATCATAAGGGCAATGCTATATGTACACCCCCTTTTAATAAAGTACACAAAGAAAAGTGCTATATGTACACCCCTTTTTTACACACAAGGGGGTGTACATATAGACACCCCCTATCATAATTAGTGATGAAGACAAGAAGTGGATTTTCATTTATCTGTTTTTGGTTTTGGGTCTTAAGTTGTAAGTTTTGAATTTTGTGTTTCTGTCATTTTAATATTTTGCAGTTTGTAATAAACATTTTTTACAATTTTCTGTATCGTTTTATCAAACAACCATAATATGTGATTGCTGTGAGTATCATACATCTGCACGTTGGGATAGGACTATACGAAACTTGTAAATGTATTTGCCATACATATATCCTAGTTTTTAATTCGACTAACTGCTTAAGTTCTTATCTGCAGGGGACAACACGGTTTTTGTTAACTCAGATTCCACATTTCAGAAAGGTAGTGTCTATTTACATTCAGCTACCATTTACAGATTTACTAGTTTTGAATGAGTAGATATATGATATCATGAATAAAAAAAAAATGAATTCATGCTCTGGCATCCTTTTATGTAAGTTCACCAGAAATATTGTTCTGTATATTTTAATTTCATATATCTTTCACGACAGATATTGTTATCAGCTTTCGAATGCCCCCATTGTGGTGAGAGGTAATTATACTTTTGGTTCTCCCATGGCCCTCTTTACCAATATTGTCTTTCTTGGACTTGTGGTTATTTATAAAATTCTAACTCCTTTTGTCTTCATTTTGAAGGAATAATGAAGTGCAATTTGCGGGGGAAATCCAACCTAAAGGTTGTCATTACTTGCTGGAAGTTCCATCAGGTGATCAAAAGGTTGTGTCCTAAGGAGTTGGATGTTGTAGGATAGGCTCTTCACATGTCAATATGTGGGCGCTTCAAGAACCGATATATATACACAAATATATAAATGATTGTTAGTGTTTGTGTGTGTTTAGTAAACTGTTTTTGTTGAGTTCTACAGTTTCAATGTTGTCTGCATGTTTGCGCAGATGTTCAATCGCCAAGTTGTGAAGTCAGAAACAGCCACAATTAAGGTACTTTTCTTCTGGTCGGTTGAGTTCTTGAATGCATGTGTGCATGATTTTTGAAGAAGTGGTTAAAGTCAAGCGGCAGTTTTTTATACTGTAGAGTGTTGATTTGTTTTTCTCATATAAGGCATAGGACTTTCGTACTTGTTTGGAGAAATTACTATTCATGGGCACTTTCGCTTTTCCTCCCTCATTACTTATGTTCACTGTGCAGATACCTGAATTGGAATTTGAGATCCCTCCCGAGGCTCAGCGTGGGTCTTTATCAACAGTATGTACATCTCTATCAAAATCTTTTGCTTAAATCACTGTTTTCTTGCGCTAATGCTGGTTCTGCAGTAATTTTCGGGATACGAGTTAACTGCTAGATATTATTTAATTTAGGGACACAATCTTTTCAGGACATCATAAGGGGAGAGCAGAAGACAATTCATTCTTCTGTTCCTCTTCTCTGCACAGATAGTTCAAGTTCTAATTCGAATAATAATTAACCAATTGCAGATATTCATTTTTCGTATATGGCCATTCCATTGGCAGTTGGATATAGCTGATCACATTCGTGCATGTTAATCCAATTCTTCATACTTTTTTTTAATGTTATTTTCTTCCTCATCCAAATGAAGCATTTTTAATTTGTGGCTCACATTGAAGAAGTAATTATTTCCAATTCCAGTTTCTGATTGGACTTTTTGTTGATTCACTGAGTTTCATGTGTCTTAGTTCCTATTTTCCAAATGTACCATTTGTCGTCTCCCCAATTTTCCTTGCCATGTAGCTGATTTGTCATCTTTTCTGATCGGTTCTTAGGTTGAAGGAATGCTGATGAGAGCTGCGGATGAGTTGGCAGCACTTCAAGAGGAGCGGAAGGTAAAATTTTGCTCATGTTCTTGTTGACTTAGCAGGCATCATCATCTTTGTTAATACTGTTTTCCTTGTTTTATCAGAAAGTGGATCCCCAGACAGCTAAAGCCATCGATGAGTTCTTGGTAAAACTGAGAGCTTGCGCAACTGCTGAATCAAGTTTTACCTTCATTCTTGACGATCCTGCTGGAAATAGTTTCATTGAAAATCCGTATGACTTTATTTTTTTTTTT